GGTAAATATTAACGTTATTAACACAGTTTGGTAGTTAACCCTGATAGATTTAAAAATTATCATTTAATAACTAGATGAGAACGTAATCTGGATGACAAATTAAAGTCATTTTATTTTGTTTTCAAACGCATGGCATAAGTATTTTCTTACAACACATTTCAAAAACATATCACAAATAAATATCGAAAATATAGATATTTTTATTAACAAAAAATTTGAAAATAAAACAAAAATCAAATCAAAACAAAAACCTAATTATCTTCACATCAATTGTCTTACAATGACTTCTAGTCGACATTGAGATGAAGGTATTCGGCGACAAACACCTGAAGTATCTTTAATACGTTACGAATGGTAGGAAAGTCCAGATTTTCTCTGTTGTCGGACTCCCGGTGCCAAACGGCCGGGAATGGTGTGGCGATCACGTGCACAATGGGTACGTTGCGTCTGAGGAATGGCATGTGGTCGTCCTCCACGTAGTTGAATGTCTGCCTGGCGTTGAAATAAGCCGTCTTTTTACCACTCGCTTTTGTTTCCAGTAAATTCATTTCATTTAACTTTTTCTCTGCAAAAAATTTGCATAAAATATAAAATTAAATGCAATTTAATTGCAAACTATTAATCAATTTTTAAGATTGAGCTGAAATTATTCTGTAATTTAATTACCGATTTCTACAATCCTATTGAATAGCGGTTTAGTGTTGGGATAGAAGCTATAGAATCGTGGATTCTGTGCCCCAATTAAGTCCAACAGAATGAGTGACTCGATTCGGTCCAATTCGCGCACCGGTTGGCCAGTCGTGCCGTTAGCGCACCGGCTCTTCAGCTCTTTGGGATACGCACTGCGACTCCATTTGTTGGCCAAATGTCGGGAGCCGTACAGCGAGTCCTCGTTAGTCCATTGGACAAAAGCCTCCTCGCCGTCAAAAAACACCAGTTGTAGAGTCGTATCGCTGTTTGACTGTTTTGTTTTTGAATAATAATTAAATTAATTATAATTAAAATATTATATGAGATTAAAATATACAATTAATATATGATAATTAAATTTTCATTAAAGCAAACGTGATATAAATCATAAAGTTACTAAACATGTTTAAAAATAGGAACTGGCTAATAATTTAACATTTATGCCTAAATTCCTGATTACATAATCATTAAATTAATTTATGAGTAAATGATCAAGCACATAATTTAACTGTGTTTGACAAAATTTGGTACCTTTTTGAGATATTTGTCGAGAGTGAGGGCCAGTTGTATGATGAGAGCGCAGGGGACGGCCGAGTCGGTGGCGCCCAGAAATGTCTTCTCCCGATTGAGTTTGGAGTCGTAATGACAGGCGAGTATCACTCGTTTGCAATGGTTTGGGTTCAAAGTGGCCATAATGTTAGTGAACGTGCGCCGACCCAGCGGTGTGTTGGCCGTGAACTCGTCATTCTCTACCGTCCACTCCAGTGTCGACATTGTTTTCCGTATAAACTATTATTTTCAATTAAAAAAATATTTTTGAAACAAGTTTTAACTTATTAATTATTTTAATCTTGGTGCAATTCTTGTTTATATTAAGACCTAAGGTTGTTATTCAATGGTTTGAATGCATACCTTCTGAACCTTCTTGTGGCCATCGGTTCCCGGACTCCGAGGAATGAGTATAGAGTCGAGAGTGGACTCAAAGAGGTCTCGGCTCTCAAACTTCTTTGCGGACAAGAATTTCATGTTATTGTCCGACATTTGTTTCGGTGCGTGAGTTAGCTATCGATACAATTAAGTCATTTAATTAACACACAATTTATGGCAAATGTCACTTAAATTAAGCCTCACTATTGGTTTAATTACATCAGTCTATTGTAATTGTGTTAAATTAATTTGTTTTACACCAAATATATGTAGCATTTTCTCAGCAAACATACTGTAATTCAAACTAAATTCAGTGGGCAATTGACGTAGTGTTAAATGCCTAGAGATATGTTTATCCAATTTACTATCGGATTAACGTTTATTGGATTAAATATATTGGATTTGTTTTAAGTGTTTTCAAGTGGTTTATTGAGTTAGCATTCAAATGAACACAAGTGTTACATTTATTATAACAAATAAATTGAATATTGAGTTAGATAGATTGAGTAAGGTATTTAGATAGATGTAAAGCTTTACATTTATAAAACTAACAACCAAATCAAACTACAACTAATTTATTTTAAAAAAAACAAGTTTAATTATTATTAAATCGATATATCTAATAAATTATAATCTACATTATTGCGTCTACAGTCCTATTTATTATAACATTAATTTATAGTTTTATTTAAAACATAGTTTTATTTTTATTTAATAATCAAAGAGGAATTTAGATTAATGCATGTTTGTGCTAATAAAAAATATTTTTATCATAATTACTTTAATTATAAACTAATTTTCTGAGGGAGAGAGAGAGAGAGAGAGAGAGAGAGAGAGATTATGATAATTATCATTAAAAATCTACGTTAAGTTTGAGATTTAAATACAAGGGAAAAATAATAAAGTTGTAAAACTATCAAGGCCTTAATCTGACGGATGACATAATGAACTTTCACTCTCAATCGTTGTTATATAACAATAGTAAACACATGTTTGTTCTGCATTTAAAATTCATAATACCATAATAAATAATATTTATGGTGTAAATTTGTGTACAATTTTTGTCACGTTTTGTCTATGAATTTGTGTTAAATATCAGAAACACATTATATAATGAATAATCCATATGTTTTTATTTGGTCACAAACTAGTTCTCTCTCTCTCTCTCTCTCTCTCTCTCTCCCTCAGAAAATTAGTTTATAATTAAAGTAATTATGATAAAAATATTTTTTATTAGCACAAACATGCATTAATCTAAATTCCTCTAGAGAGAGAGAGAGAGAGAGAGAGAGAGAGAGAGAGAGAACTAGTTTATGAGCAAATAAAAACATATGGATTATTCATTATACTGTATAATGTGTAATATTTAACACAAATTCATAGACAAAACGTGACAAAAATTGTACACAAATTTACGCCATAAATGTATTATGGTATTATGAATTGTAAATGCAGAACAAACATGTGTTTACTATTGTTATATAATAACGATTGAGAGTGAAAGTTCATTATGTCATCCGTCAGATTAAGGCCTTGATAGTTTTACAACTTTATTATTTTTTGCCTTGTATTTAAATCTCAAACTTAACGTAGATTTTTTTTAATGATAATTATAATAATCTCTCTCTCTCTCTCTCTCTCTCTCTCTCTCTCTCATTATATAAGTAATTAATTTATATTTTTGTTTAGTAAATATTTTGAACATGTATTATTAGTAATAATTTATTACAAAAATAATCTAAACAATCTAAATTCAATAGTGACTATACACTATCAAATACACCTATTAAGGTATGTCTAAATGTTTTGTTTATTTAGTGACAGATTAATTGACATAAAATCTATTCACATCACTGAATATATCCTTGAAAAACAATATTAAAATTAAAATTGTAAATAAATTCACAGAAAAAGCAAAACTTTTAAAAAACCGGAATTTTATAATAACACAAAGCATGAGCTCTTGATATTTTTTGTTGTAATTTTTAGTTGTTTTATAAAAATCAATTCAAAACAAACACTATTTTATAATAATTATAATAAATATCATTTATTATCTAATCATGTGAGCACTAAAACACTATACGCTACTATCAATTATAAAATATAGTTATAACTTATAAGTTAAATAACACAAATAAAAACGAGTTAAAATAATCACAAAAATAAATTACAATATATTTTCAAACATAGATTTAAAAATATATTATCTGATAAATCACTCAATAAACAATTTGAAATTAATATTAAATTAATAAAACATAACAAACCTCTCGATAATCCCAACGTTTTGAACGCTTGGCGTGTATTACAAAATGATGTGAATATAAATTATATAATAAATAGCATAACACTAGA